GTATCCTCTGGGCCCACGGATATTGCGGCCAACCACTTGATGCAGTACCTGGTGCTGCTTATTTAATCAAGAAACCAAACAAGAATTAACCAATAGTATAACTTCTTTCAAAAGAGCCAAATGCAATAGCTATAAACATGCATGAAATATAGTAGTCTGCTAGCTATTTGTCGGGTAACTTTCCATCCCTCAAGCAGCTTTTAATTTATCCTTCAAATAGCTCTCCCAGCATCTCCTCTAACACGTCGGGGCTGCTGCTTCCGCCCCTAACCTGTTTCTCAAGCTTCGGATGCTTCTCCAGGCAGCAGCGGTAACCTGAGACGACTCTCTCTATGATTGTTCTCCGCAGCTCATCTCTGAGCTGAGGATTCGGTACCTTCCAGAACTTCTGGGCCGCGTAAGTTTTCTGAAACGCGGACTCGAATTTTGCCAGTGAAGCGGCGTTCTTCCGATGCTGGAGCGGTGCAAGCATGCCGAACAACATATGTAGCCGACGTCGAGAACCATCAAGATAGCCATCTATGAAGACCGTTTTCGGCATGTGGGACTGCACATGCCTCCAAGAAACATCGAGATATTCATTCATGTACTTTAGGCATTCGGGGGCAGGTCTCCACTCGTGTCTAGACCATGACTCAACCATGAGCGACCATGGCTCAACCATCATTGCCACCAAGTAGGAATTATTGAGCAGGAACAGGTACCTCAGGCTTTGGTCCGCGCATAGCTCCGACTTCCTCGAGAGCAGATCCTTGAGATAACGGACGGAATCATCTATTAGGCCACGGAGGTATTCGGTTTCGTGGTGCCGTGCTTTATCTTGCATGGACTTGATGCAATTCACCATCAACCAAGTGTTCCTGTGGATGTCGCCTCTTCCTCTTGGTATCTCGATGGCCCACGAGTCGTCCTCCTCCACGAATGCCCTCACCTCCATTACCGTGCTGTATATGGCCTTGCTCAACCTCTTCACTTCTCTGGGCAACGAGCCGCCTATGTCCATGAAAATTTTCTTGCTCAAGCCCTTGAATTTGACTTGGACTTCCGGCGAAAACATTTGTTCTGCACTCGAGACGCATATATACATGTCTAGCGCAGCCCGTAGCTTCTCCTCCTTACTTGCAGGGGTGATGGTGTCGATGAAGACGAGCTCGAGCATCTTGGCGATGCTTGCCTTGCCAAACTGTGCGACCGCCATCGCCTCGTGGACGTTGATGGCCACCTCTTTGATACTGGCGACGGTTGTGATGAATGCTCGAATCCACTTCTTGACCAAGTCTTGAAGCTGGAGCTGCCGCCATGAGCCATCGCCCTCGGGGATTTGGAGAACCCAGTCCACGTCGAGCTCGAAGAACCAAGCCTCCAGCGCACGGTCCGAGCAACCGCCGTATTCGAATGCACTGACCATGCGCTGGGTGTAGCCGTCGCTGACCATTCGGCGGGCGATCTTCGTGAGCTCGTGAGCACCGTAGTCTGCCGCGGCAGCGTGGACCGAACCAGAGGAGGCGGAGCCGGAGCCGGAGTTGTTGGACGGGTAAGAACCAGAGGCACCGGAACCGGAGTCGCCGGAGCGGCTGTGTTCGGTATTACCGGAGTGAGAGAAGACAGTCGGTGTGATTCTCCCTCCGGACACGGCGACGCTTCGGATCGACTCACGGTAGACGCTGAGCGGCGGGGACGGAGCCGTGAACCCCGCGGTGCTCTGCTCAACTCCGGCACGGCAGCAAGCCGCCCCGCCATGCTGCTACTTTGTAGATGTGTGGACGCCGTTGGTCGAGCTCGGGTCGGTGAGATTGGCAGGGGAGAAAACCGTGTGAAGTGCAGTCCCGGGAGCCTGGTATACAAGAATCGGCACCGATATGCCGGAAGCCCGTGACAAGCGACGACGACCGACAAATGCAAGACCCAGGTCAAGTCAACATGAGCCGCGTGATGACGAGGACGGAAGGCCACAACAGCAGCTGCTACGACACAGTCCTTCACAAACACGAAACAAAATCATATACCCAAATGATAACGCGTGTGGCACTTATCAACACGTCTACACACACTCGATGTCCTTCGATTCATCTGCATGAATTTTGAAGCAATTGTCAGCTGGGTCAAGAGCCATATAAGCACTGAGCGTTATCATTTAGTGCTACACGTGTGGGCGCTACTCGTCTGAACCTGTGGGTGAAACTGCTCTTAACCTACACAACACTCACATGATGATAGATGGTAACTACATGTGTGCATATGTCGCAACTAGTTAACCACACACGACAACTATATTTAATCATACATGATAACTATGGTTTGACCATACCTGACAACTCTAAAATTAGTTACAAATGACAACTATATTTAATAATGCATGATAGACACATCAACTACAGTTAATTAGACATGGCAACTAAAGTTGATTTACATACGTGTTCGGGCTCATAGGGTGGGGGTGAGCAGTTGCCACATATGATCAAGTGGGCCGTCGTAGCTGCGCCCAAACGTGTCGGCAGTTTTAATGTTCGCCCACACAAGATCGTGTGGGTTGTCTCCTGGGTACGACCACACGACTCATGTGGTCAGGTATTCATTATGCCACACACGTGGCAGTTATCGGCGGATGCCGGGCAACAAACGAACGAATGTGCTATATATATATATACATATATATATATATATATATATATATATATATATATATATCAAAAAAAAGAATGTGCTATATACCGTTACTTTTTTTTAGGGGGCTATATATTTTTTTTGAAAAAATGAGCCAGATATATTATCAAAGTTCAGCAGAAGTATAAAGCATCTCAAACATAATAAAAATTACATTGAGATTTCAAGACCCCCAAACAACCACTACTGCCGCCATAACGAGCCGCCAACGCGCCGCTGTCGCCGCTTCCCTACTGGAGCCGGCTTGGCCTTGTCGATAGCAGCCGGGAAATCTTCGTGCATGTGCCCCTAAGGGCCAACGTCTTGGAGCCGCAATCATCACCGTTGAGCCTTTGCATAGATTTGAAGCACCTGACACCAAATTTCGCCACAAGAGAAACCCTAACTTCACCGTCCCAAAGACACGGGAGGAATCTACACTGAGCTCCGTCGACTACATCTAGTCGGGCAAACTCGAGGAGGATCAGAGCCCGGAAGACAAACTCAAAGAAGTAGCGCCTCCATCCGCCCGAGCACCGCACATGCGAGGACTAAAATACCCTAACCTAAACTACTAACCGGAGCAGAGGCACTGGGATTCCCCTCCCCGCCAGAGCGTAGGAAGAGGGGAGGCGAATCCACGGGCTCGCTGACGAAGTTTGCAGGAAAGAGTTTGCCCTAGCCACCTAGCACTACTGAAATTTTCGTATACGTTGGGTGCCAGGCTCTTCGCTGAGAGCCAAATCACGGGTACTCGGCAAAGTCATAGATGCCGATAGGTACTCTCAGCAAACACATGATTTTGCTGAGAGTAGACCTCGGCAAAACGAGAACACTCGGCAAAGGCACTATTTGCCGAGAGCCAAACAATCGCTGCACGACAAAGTTTCGCCATGTGGCACATCCGGTGGCGACCAACGGCACGGTCACGGTTGCAATTCTTTGTCGACTGTGACTCTAAGTAAAGATCAGGCTCTCAGCATACTTTAGTCCCACCTCGCCCAGACACAAGCAACAAGACCTGTTTAAATAGTCAGATAGTCTAGATGCAGTAAGCTTCAGTCTTTATTACACCCCTGTTAATGAGATGTACCATTACTTTCAATCTTCACCTATTCCGAGCAAAGAAGATTCACAGTGATAGGCCATCTTCCTGATGGATGCCGGGGATTTTGTTTAATTCAATTATTATTATTTTTGAGTCTTCCATCCATGTCAGGCCCCCGCATTTTTTAGTCTCTGGGTATCGAAAGGGAACGTGTTCAATCTGTGCAGGAAGTGCGGGTCCTGTTGTTCCGTTTACCTCGAAACTTCTCGTGCTCTCAAAGGAGGCCATCGCATGACACATGCCAGGCCCCCGCATTCGAACCCGCATGCAATATTTGAGACATTTATTGCTCGGCTAGGGTTTCATCACCGGAAATTCCAGATCTTAAAGGCGACACATGAAATCATGCCCGGAAGTGGCAAGGAAAATACTTTGTGATGTCCTTACGGCATGCATAGGACTTGTGTAGATGAGGGAGGGGCATGCCCTACCACCGGGGGGCAAAAGTACCTCGGTGGCATGCCTAATGCAACCGTCTAAATCCCCGAAAAATTGTACGATGCTGGAATTCCTCGAGAGCTGGCACAGTGTCATCACATGGCCCCTATAGGGTATGGTAAAAGTTTGGGCGTGTTTCGAATAAGACTCCCCTGAGACCACTTGTAAACCGCACATCTTCGAGCTAGTGTGGGTATCGAGAGGGAACGTGTCCGGTTTGTGTAGGAAGTCCGGGGCCTATTGCTCCGTTGGCCTCAAAACTTTTCGTGCTCACAAAGGAGGCTATCGCATGACACGTTCCAGGCCCTCACATTTTTTGGACCCGCATGCAATATTTGAGACATTTATTGCTCGGCTAGGGTTTAATTGCCGAAAATTGCAGATCTGCAAGGCGGCACGTGAAATCATGCCCGAAACCGACATGGAAAATCCTTTGTGATGTCCTTGCGGCATGCGTAGGCCTTGTGCAGACGAGGGCAGGGCATGGCCTGCCACCGGGGGCGAAAGTACCTCGGTGGCATGCCTGATGTACCCCTTTAATCGTCGGAAAATTGTAGGATGCCAAAATTCCTCTAGAGTTGGCATGGTGTCATCACATGCCCCTGTAGGTGTGGTAAAATTTTGAGCGTGTTTCAAATAAGCCTCCTCTGAGGACGCTTGTAAACCGCATCATCTCCGAGCTAGTCTTTGGGTATTGAGAGGGAACGTGTCAGATTTGTGCAGGAAATGCAGGTCCTATTGCTCAGTTGGCCTCGAAACTTCTCGTGCTCTCAAAGGAGACCATCGCATGATACGTGCCAGGCCCCCACAATTTTTGGACCCACGTGCAATATTTGAGACATTTATTGCTCTACTAGGGTTTCATCACCGGAAATTGCAGATCTGTAAGGCGGCACATGAAATCATGCCCTGAAGCGGCATGTGATGTCTACTACGCAACTTTATTCTTGTAGACTCGTGTTGGGCCTCCAAGCGCAGAGCTTTGTAGGACAATAGCAATTTTCCCTCAAGTGGATGACCTAAGGTTTATCAATCTGTGGGAGGCATAGGATGAAGTTGGTCTCTCACAAACAACCCTGCAACCAAATAACAAAGAGTCTCTTGTGTCCCCAACACACCAAATACAATGGTAAATTGTATAGTTGCACTAGTTCGGCGAAGAGATGGTAATACGAGTGTAGTAATGCTAGTAGATATTAATTTTTGTAATAGAAACAAAAAACAGTATGGTAGCAAGTACCAAAAGGTAGCACAAACGGTATTGCAATGCTTGAAAACAAGGCTTGTGTTCATACTTTTACTAGTGCAATCTCTCAACAATGATAATATAATTGGATCATATAACCATCCCTCAACGTGCGATAAAAAATCACTCTAAAGTTCTTATCTAGCAGAGAACATAAGAAGAAATTGTTTGTAGGGTACAAAATCGCCTCAAAGTTATTCTTTCCAATCAATCTGAGCTATCCCTATAAGTGTCACAAACAACCCTAGAGTTCGTACTAAAATAACACCATATGATACACATCAACCAACTCTAATGTCACCTAGATACTCCAATGTCACTGCGAGTATCCGTGAGTTGATTATACGATATGCATCAAACAATTTCAGATTCATAATACTCAATCCAACACAAAGAACTTCAAAGAGTGCCCCAAGATTTCTACCAGAGAAACAAAGACGAAAACATGCATCAACCCCTATGCATAGATTACCCCAATGTCACTTCGGGAATCCACGAGTTGAGTTCCAATACATACATCAAGTGCTCTCAAATCCATAAAAGTATTCAATCTAATAACAACGAAATATCAAAGGTAAAACTCAATCCATCACAACAGGATAGAGAGGGAGAAACACCATACACTACAAAAAAGACACATCCGTGACATTTTGGGCTAAACGAATTTTTTTCTGTCATACTTATGACACTTCTATGATGATAATTATGACAAAATCTGATATCATCATAGATGTGGTGGGATCATACGTCTATGACAATAAATCATGACAGAAAATTGGCTTTTCATCCTGGGCGGGCCTGAGATGCACCTGCATGACATTCTTTGGGCCGTCCATGACAGAAAAAATTGGGGTAGAAGCGAGGGCAAGGAAATTTTTGGGGAGTTCCCGGTTACGATGGGTGGTCGGGGCCGAGCGATGCACGGAGGTTTGCACGTTTCTCTCATACACATACGCGCGTATGTGCGAGGCGTTGCGCTCTAACTGAACCCGAGTGAGGC